AGAAGGCATCAAAAGACAGTTCACAGTGGCGAACACTCCTCAACAAAATGGAGTGGCAGAGCGGATGAACAGAACCTTGTTAGAAAGAACAAGAGCAATGTTGAGGGACACATGCCTAGAAAAATCATTCTGGGCAGAAGCAGTCAATACCGCCTGTTATTTGGTGAATCGAGCTCCATCAACTGCAACAGAGCTGAAGACACCAATGGAGATGTGGACTGAAAAACCAGTTGATTATTCAAACCTCCATGTATTTGGAAGTATTGTGTACATGATGTACAACGCCCAAGAAATTTCAAAGTTGGATCCAAAATCCAGAAAATGCAAATTCTTGGGGTATGCTGATGGAGTAAAGGGGTATCGCTTGTGGGATCCCACTGCCCGCAAAGTGATCATTAGCAGGGATGTTATCTTTGTAGAAGATAAACTACAAAGAAAAGAAGACAATGACAGCGCTGAAAAGTCAGAGACTACACAGATACATGTAGAAAAGGAGTTTGAATAAGGAGATTCTTCTGAAGCAGAACCAGCACATGATGAACAAGAACCAGAGAGTTCTGAAGCTCCAACATCTCGTCAATCAGATCGTGTGAGAAGACGTCCCAATTGGCACTCAGATTATGTTATAGAAGGAAATGTTGCATACTGTCTTTTAACAGAGGACGGTGAGCCATCAACATATCAGGAGGCAATAAACAGCTCAGATGCTTCACTGTGGATGATGGCGATGCAAGAAGAAATCGAAGCCCTTCATAAAAATAATACATGAGACCTTGTGCCACTACCACAAGGAAGGAAGCCAATTGGTAACAAATGAGTTTTCAAAATCAAGCGAAATGGTGACGATCAAGTGGAGAGGTATCGTGCAAGACTGGTGGTCAAAGGATATGCTCAGAAAGAATGTATTGATTTCAATGAAATTTTTTCTCATGTGGTTCGACTAACAACAGTTCGAGTAGTCTTGGCAATGTGTGCTACATTGAATTTACATCTGGAATAGCTAGATGTTAAAACAGCTTTTCTTCATGGAAATCTTGAAGGAGAGATTTATATGCTCCAACCTGAAGGTTTTGAAGAAGACGAAAAGAAGAACTTGGTTTGCATATTGAACAAATCTTTGTACGGTCTAAAGCAGGCGCTGAGGTGTTGGTATAAGAGATTTGATTCCTTCATTATATGCCTTGGATACAACAGACTTAATGCAGACCCTTGTGCTTATTTCAAGAGGTCTGGTGATAACGATTTTGTTATATTGCTGTTGTATGTGGATGATATGTTGGTTGCAGGACCCAACAAAGATCATATTGAAGAATTGAAGGCACAACTGGCTAGGGAATTTGAAATGAAGGACTTGGGATCAGCAAACAAGATTCTAGGGATGCAAATTCACCGAGACAGAAGTAATAGGAAGATTTGGCTTCCACAAAAGAATTACTTGAAGAAGATCTTGTCACGATTCAACATGCAAGATTGTAAGCCAATTTCTACCCCTCTTCCTATTAACTTCAAATTATCCTCCAGTATGAGTCCTAGCAATGAAGAAGAGAGGATGGAGATATCTCGAGTATCGTATGCATCAGCAGTGGGAAGTTTAATGTTCGCTATGATATGCACAAGACCAGACATTGCACAAGCAGTGGGAGTGGTTAGTCGGTACATGGCGAATCCAGGCAAAGAGCATTGGAATATTGTAAAGAGGATCCTAAGATACATCAAAGGGACCTCAAATGTTGCATTATGTTACGGAAGATCAAACTTACTAATCAATGGGTATGTATATTCTGACTATGCAGGGGATTTGGATAAAAGCAAATCTACTACAGGATATGTGTTCAAAGTTGCTGGTGGAGCTGTAAGCTGGGTTTCAAAATTGCAGTCAGTTATGGCTACGTCCATAACAGAAGCAGAATATGTAGCAGCTACACAAGCCAGTAAAGAAGCAATTTGGTTGAAGATGCTATTGGAGGAGCTTGGCACAATCAAGAGTATGTTTCTCTGTTTTGTGACAGTCAAAGCGCCTTGCATCTAGCAAGGAATCCAACATTTCATTCAAGGACTAAGCACATACGAGTTTAGTACCATTTCATTCGTGAAAAGGTGGAAGAATGAACGGTAGATATGCAGAAGATCCATATTAAAGACAACATAGCAGATTTCATGACGAAGGCAATCAACGCTGATAAATTTACCTGGTGTCGATCCTATTGTGGCCTGTCAGAGACGTAAGCAACATGATGGTACAAGGTAGAAAGAATGGTGTGAAGATATGATTGTTTCAATCAAATCTTCAAGTGGGAGATTGTTGAAATGTCAAAGCTTGGAAAATTGGTTCAAGTTAGGCACCTAATATTGCAATGTCAAAATTAGGTGCAACAATGTCAAAATTAGGTGCAATAATATTTGAAAATTAAATGGGTAAATTATAAACTTTAGTCACTAAACTTTAGGGTATTTATAAGATTAGTCCTTAAGTTTCAACTATAAATACTCTAGCTCATTTAGCTTCAAAATCATCCCAAAGCATTCTAGCTTTCTTCCAATACTAGAGAGAATTTAGAGAGTTTCTTGAGAGTTGTTTTCTCTTTTTTATCGAGAGAGAATTATCATTGTTTTCTCCTTGGTAGATCGAGAGATGTTGTAATTCCTATTTTCTCATAGTGAAATTCTTCTACCATTGCCCGTGGTTTTTACCCTATTTTATTTAGGGGTTTTCCACGTAAATTTTGTGTCTCTTTTTATCTTTATTTTTATTTTCTCAAATTATCAGTTGCGATTTTGCTCTATCCGATAGCTGTCTTCCGCAACAAAAGAAAGGGTAGTTTTGTATCAATTCTCTCACATTTCAATTTTGTTTTATACTAGACTATGTCAATAGACTTAGATATACACTTTTCCAATTATACAATTATTTTAATTACAAATAAATAAAATTCGATTCATTTAAATATATTTCTTCATTCGATCCATCATGTATTCGTATATCATATGTGTACGTGTATACTTGTATTTTTTTACTTTGATTTAGGCTTGGTAAATTTAAATCGTACTCGATCATCTTAATCGATTTACTCGATTCGAGATCTGATATGGACCTATACAGGATGACCCAATATTGATCTGAAACCCGAAATAACTCGAATGGAACTGAAATCGACTAATTTTAGTTGGACTGAAAGCAAGTTGAACCAAAATCAATCCGAATTGAAAACAACCTAAATCGAAATTAACTTGAACCGAAAGCAACCCGAATTTGGTCTACCTATATCCTATCTGAACCAAACTTCGACCATATTTAACCCGATAATTAAGTCTAAGTGAATGAATAATTTATTAATTATTATTATTATTATTATCATCTATTTTTAACATTGATAAATAGGAAAATGATGTATGCTTTATTCTCATTTTATATTATACTACTAGTTAATCACCACTTCTAGGAATTGTTTAATATAATCTTTCCTCAATTAAAAGATCATTCCTATATCTGTCACCTGATGCAATAACTTCTAACTCTGAATTTGGATTGTATATTCAAGTAAAACACTTAATTTTAAAGAATTATTGATTCGATTGATTCAAACTAAGACTTCTAGCTATATATTCACATAAAATTCTTGAATTATAAGTAATAGAGAGTAGCACCGAAAGTTATGACGATAAAGAGTGACAATGGTTGACTTAAAAAATTAAAGGTTGACCCGAATTGAAACCAACCTAAATTTCTAATTATTGATCCAGACTCAATAATCGATTCGATTTTGACCAGACCCAATAATCGATCCGAACTAAACTTCTATAGACTCAAACTAAACACAAACCATATTCGATTTAACCCGAACTAAACTTAAATTAAATACAGCCTTCACTGAAATGATCCCATTCTCGCCTCTTGGATTCAAAAGTGGAATAGCAAGTGTGGTAAATGTATAATTATGCCAGAGGCACCATGTGATGGAATCATGTGCTTCTCTTTTGGTCTTTTGAATGGATAGTCAACGGTCCCAAAAGAAAGTACACATATTCGTAATACTGGTATTTTGTCCAAGCTGGATGACCTAATCATACTTGTACAATACACCTTTTATCTGACGAAATTCCCTGTTTTATTCTTTGCTTTTCTGTTTATAAAACATAAAGCAAAAGTAGAAAGAACAAATGCGTTTCTATTTTTATTTCATTTCCAATTTTGAATAGGCAAAGCTGATGATATCTCTCTAATCTTAAACTCAAAATCCTACTTACATGTGTAAAGAAACATTAAAACATACAAATGCCCCTATTCACTCTCGATAAACTGGAAATACTGCAATTGGCTGCAGAATTTCCTGTGGTGTTTACTGCTCCCTATTTATTGAAGCAATAATAAATGATAACATTAGCATTGAACTAATATTTTATTCTGCCATGTCAGCCTTCCAAGGAACGGCTATCTTCTGCAAGCATGACTCACTCGCAATTAATGGATGTTGGTGAATAGGCTAAAATAAATATTCTTTAGTAAAACTTAACATTCAATTTCTGTGTTTACTCAATTCAGTGATTTGGCTGTATAGATTATATATGATTGATTATACAAGTATATTGACATAAATTTCAATAACAAATAACATCATTGATTAAATTAAAATATGATAAATATTTAATTTGTTAAACACAACTAAATATGATAAAATAACAGATTTTAATGATTTGATCTTATAAGATTAAATTTTTTAAAGTTTGATTTTGAAATGAACCAGAATAAATTTTGTAAAAGAGAAAACTAAAATCAAATCTAAAAACAAAATCTTCAATCCGATACAAAATAAATATCATAATATCCCTCTATATTTTTAAGCAATATATATATATATATATATATATAATCGATCATGTTAAAATAAAGCAAGCAATATTGGTAATCGTTATCGAAAAAGAAACAAGTTAAGAAAAACACATGGTGGCAGGGTAAAGACTGTCAGTAGGTATCTAATTGAAAGGACTGGAATAATTTCACGGAAATATGTTAATATTCCTACACCATTAGACAAGCAAAACTAATTCTAAGCAATTCTACAATGAACAGGTCTCTACAGTTTCAAAAGCTAAGCACCGGAAGATTACCTGCCCTTTGGCCGAGAGGCACCCTTTTTCCTTTTCTTGGAAGAAGACGTTTTGTTTATGTTGCTTCTGCTACACTTGGGACAAAACCAGTCCTCCTCAGGAATAGCGTCGAGCGGAGGATCACAACAATCAATGTGAGTGCCAACTCCACAACCTACTGAACCTTTTTCATCACCGCAGATCAGCATGACCTCTCCTCTGTCACCAGAGCCGCAAACTTGGCATGTTATATCATTACCTTCCGTGTGATTTGGTGACTCATCTGGGGTCGAGTCCTCAACAATCTCTTCGGCTCGGCTTGTCAAGTTACTACTCGACTTCTCTGCCCATTCGAGTGTGTTGTATAGAACATGTCTCTCCAGGGAGTAACCAGGTTTACATACATATTCCACTAGGTAGTCGGCAACAACACAGGGTACCTCATGTTTTAAAAACTCTTGAACCCACATATCAACACGTGGCATGCCAGGGCTAACAACAGCGAAATGGACGCCAGATTTGAGGAATCTTGTGTAAGGGGGGGATGTTGCTAAAATATCACCATCCCCGGCTTTCACCACACGCTTCAAAGTATCCTGGTTGAAGTTCGGAAAAAGGCAAGTCGTTATGATGGAAATTCAGACCACCCTTAACCATCTGTTTTTAGTTTATGGAAACAAGAAAACACAGCAGGGGACAATCTTTTGTGGAAAATGTTGTTGGTATGGTACAAGATGAATATAGAACATACCAAAGGGGGAGCAATGCATTCTCCATATACAATAATGCGCATTCCATAAAATGCTCCATGTCCTGTTCTCTCCCGTAACTGACGCCACTTCCTTGGAGCCTCTAAGTTTATTGCACCATCTTCACTGAGGCCTTTTTTGTGCCATTCATAAGGCTCCTCTGCCAAGAATTTTCCTGCCTGATTACAAGCACTTAAATAATCAGACTTAAGAATCCACCTGCATTCAGAGGAATCAAATTCAACAGCCATTTGAAATTAATGAAATAGTAATGCATACATGTGAAAATTTTTAGTAACAAAAGCTAGTTAATATAAACAGCAAATATTACCGTACAATCTTCTTAATTAGAGAATGGAACATAAAGAAACTTTCAGTATAATTTTACTGAGCTAATGAGGATTGTGGCAAGTTGTGGACAGTTAGAAATATGTAACCTTCCAGATGCAGCAGCAGCAAAGAATTTTTCAGTCCTACGAACTGGATCTGGGGCAATGAAATGTGTTGCCTGGTATGACCATTGATGAGAGTCTCTACAAAATTTGCCTTTCAATCGCCGAATGACTTGCTGAAATTCTTTTCTCTGCAGTCTGTGGCCACTTAATATAAAACATATAGGCTCATTTTTCACTCTGTCCAAAACCTTTTGCAGCGGTTGCCTGTTAGAGTCAACCTTCTGGAATTTTTCATTAGTCTTCACTGTTCTGTTGCTGGATTTACCAATTGATTTCCCAGAAACCTCCACGTGACAGACTGGGCTACTCTTGCCTGCTGCCCCAGATATTTCCACTTTCGAAGATGCAATGTTGCCTTTTGGTTTGGCAGCAGAATGTAGCATGAAATTCTCTTTTTCATTTTCTTTCTCCTCAACGTTCTTCGGGACACTACTATTTTGCCCAACCAAATTGTTTGTGGAATTAGAAGGATCAGCCTTCATCATGGCTCTACCGGCAGGCTGTTTAATCCTTTTGTTTGCTTTCTTTTTCAAACCACCACACATCAAAGTTGGTTCACCTAATTCAGAATTCTTGCTATCAGCTGCCCTCTCAGGATCAGTTCCATTTGTTCCATTCTCCGGGGCAATTGAACTCCCATCTTGAGCCACATTGGAATCATGGCTGACATGTTCCACTTCTACAAATGTATCTACTTTACCCATCAATTCAACCAACTCGGACTTCTCTTTTTCAGCTGTCTTAGGATCATTTTCATCTTCCTCATCTGGAGCTTGAGTTTCATCATCCATGAATTGAGTCTTACTAGTAACGGAAGTTTGACATTTTGCAACTATTTTGATATCCTTAGCTGAATCCAGGTTAATAGTTGGAGGGGATGTCTCATGCTCACTGGCACTCTTATGAGTTGCTCTTTTACTCTCACCATCCAAGGAAATTGTAGAACGATTTTCCGAAGAAATTTTGCTAGAGTAAATAGAACCTTTTCTGTTAGCAATGTTACTTAGTTTTGGTCGAGAACCCAAGGTCTTTTTCTTAAGCTTCTTGGTAACTGGTTTTGTCGTTGACTTATCATTTCCTCGTTCAAGCACATTCAAGTCAGAAGGGCTATGGGAACCTTCATTTCCTGGCTTTCTTTCATCAAATGAAGGAACCTCAACATCTTGCTGCTTATTCTTCAGCTCATTGTGCTCTCCAACAACTTGTAATTGTTCTAAGCCGTATTCTTTGATATTTGATCTGCTTGCAGAGGTGGTCTCTCTTAATCCCTTGAAGGACATTTGGGGTGATTCCTCACCAGCATTCTCACTTTGCATATCTGGCTTGTTCACCGGTTTTGTCAGTTTTGCAAGCTTCTTGCTAACTGATTTTCTCACTGACTTATCATTTCCTCCTTCAAGCACAACCAAATTAGAAGGGCTATGAGAATTTTCATTCCGCAGTTTTCTATCATCAAGTGAAGCCACCTCAACAACTTGCTGCTTATTCTGCAGCACACCTGGCTCTCCGCCCACTTGTGCCTGTTCTTGGCTGTAATCTTCAATATTTGATCTGCTTGCTGGGGTGGACTCTCTTAATTCCGTGAAAGACATATGTGGTGACTTCTCATAAGCAATCTCATTTTGCATATCTGGCTTACCTGCAAAGGTGGACACTCTATACCCCCTAAAGGACATGCCAGGAGACTTCTCATCACTACTTCTCTGTCTGTCCTCAGGAGTAACAGTTTCAGAGGAAAAAAGATCAGTCAACAACTTGGCACATGAACTATGTAAACTATTCAGACAACCAGTCTCATTCACTGAGTAGTCGTTAATCTGCGGCTGTTCACCCAGGGATCTCCGTTCCCATCGTTCAGTATCTAGTGCGCTGCCCTTGACAGAAGCTTTTGCATTACTCGTCTTTTGTGATTTAGAGCTACTACAAGAAAGTTCCAAAGCTCTTTTCTGAGGCAATATACCAGCTGAGTCGTTGGCATGGCACAGATCACTTCCTTTCCATGGAGATCTATCAAAACAAGAACCAGTTCTTTCCTCTGGTTGCTGCATTTTAGAGGAAGAAACATCAGATACATTCTTGATTTTCATAGCTTGAGGAGAGCCACTATTGTTTCCAGATTCCTCCCTAGATAAATTTGGAAGCGTAGAAGTTCTTGATGATTTGCTTGGTGTTTTCCTTGAGTAACTTATGCCAGTGAACATCTGATTGGATAACGAGGGGCTCTTAGAGGTAGGTTCCAAGTAATTATCCATATTTGTAGAATTTGGGCTTCTGTTGCCTGGTTGAGCTAGCTTAGTAGATGAAGCATTATTGATGCTTGTGCCTTGATGAAACTTCTCAGGTGTCACTAAAACTTCCTTGGTATTTGGTGAATGTTTGGGCATAGTCGAAGTTGACACTTCAACAGTTGCGGGCAATTCACGGGAACTGAGCATTTCAGCTCTCAAATTATGAGGGCTCCTATTCATACTCTGTTGCCCAGAATGCTTCAATGTAGTTTCTTCAGCCTCTTCATCAGAATCTTTGGCTTCAGCTTCCATTATCTCTAACTCATAACCACTGTTGAGAGGAAGAGAATAGCATATAATTCAGTATAGCATATACCTTCTTTTTCACTTTTTCTCCTTGGATAAGAGCAAAGCAAATATAAATCAGAATCAAGACACCTTAGCTACTGCACGATTGGTTTGATGCAGAGAAATATGAATAACATTCTAAGGAAAGCCCTTACCTCTTGCTATAGTTAGCTTCTGAAAGAATTTCCCATTCTCTTATACTGCATAAAAGGAATACAAGATTAAACAGCAGCAAAAAGGTTAGTTGCTTCATCCCCCAAAAAAAAAAGCATTCTAGTTTTCCGGCTATCAGCAAAAATAGACTAAAAGGTTTGAAATCTATTGTACTCCAGGATCAAAAACTTCAGTTTTCTTTTCTGCAAACGTACCAATCTTCCAACCAGCGGTGATTGATAAGCTTTATCTTCTTGATTTTCTTAGCAAGCTCATACTTCTCTCCTGCATAAATTGACAGTATTTATTTTGTACAGTTACTACTAAAACTCATTATGATTAAAAACATCAACACAAGGGAAAGCCATATTTGCAACAGAAAACAAACATATAGCAAGCATCTTAATGTCTTAATTAGAAGAGAAAACCATCCAAACTGCCAAACAGATGAGTAAAAAATTATATGCAAATAAATTATATTAATAGAAACATGAAATGTAGATGAATGGAAAAGGGAAAAAGAAAAGAGGGAGTGTATTAAGAGATTACATGTGAAGAAGAAGAAGAAGAATCCATCAGCCTAACATGCAATGCTGAAAAGATTGACAAGAAAAATAAAATCCTCATAGTCCTAGCATTGTGAAGTTTATTTTAGCAGCCCTATTATAAAGAAAACATAGAAAATTTCACCTTCGAATTTATAACATATTAGATGAGTGACTTTGCTTGCAACCAGAGGTTTAGAAAATTGAGCACCCATCAAGCTAACCATTGTCTGCAAACACACAAGTAAAACTACATAAAACTTTTATTTGTTTTACAAACAATAAAAGCAGCCCATAATAGTGAAATATAGACCATACCATAATGTCATCTCGATCTTGCCTCTGGTATCCAGTCAAGCATACAATTAAACTTTTAGCACCAGGAATTCCATCTAAGTCCCTAAGAGGTCTGTACATAATCTGTACCCCAAAAAATGAAAAATTGCAAAATTTACAAGTTCGCAAAGATGATAAGAATAAATCTAATTTTATTATAGAAAAAATTGCATGACAAATCTGGATCCAAAAACAAGTAAATATCTCTAAGTCATAGAAGTTGTATACGTGAGAAATTATTTATGGAGTTATAAAACTGTTGGCTTTTATTTCATCATATTAGTGTTAATGTGCTACACCAACTGAATTCTGGATTGAAAATTCCAAATAATAAACAGAGTATAAAGTTCGAAAATATCTTATATACATTAAACAATCAGATTTTAAAGAATGCAATAAAATAAACTAACCGAAGTAGCATCAAGAGGCATTCCGACATCAAAACTATGATCAACCCATAATCCAGTGACAACTGTTTTGCCATCATTTAGAGCATCAACACATACAGGATCATCCTAAATAGCATGTAAAATCAAGAAATTCAGCAACCATTTTTTTAATAAAAGGTAAGCACCATTGCTTTAAAAAGCTTACGTATACAATCTTATCAACAATCAAATGAGTGCAATTCTGGTTACACTGACCCACACCAACGCCGCCGCCGGTAATGAGCTTTACTCGAACCTTTCACAAAAATTTAACAAATAAACAATAAAAAAACATAATGAATTTTCCATCACATTCTTTATCAGTTGCTTAAATAAGTACTTCAATGAAACAAAGATAAAGGAAAGGAGATTCGGAGACAAAAACAATTAAAAAAAAGTGCAAGCGAAAAACCTCATGCTCGTTGACGGGATCGAAGCCGTAAAGACAAAAACGAACGCCGAGAAACGTTTTCGAGGGAGTATCGGATTCCAGCATTGGATCGAAGGCTAACCTTTACAGAGAATTGCCAAAATTAGGGTAACTGGAACAAGAGAGGAAATTTTGATTCCTTAGAAATAGAGACGAATCGAGGTTAATAAAATCCTGAAAAACAAAGATCTAATCCAATGATTGTGGAAATAAAATGTGAAAGTGAGGGGAAAATATAGGAGTTTTGGGGTTCACAAAACTTGTCGAGGAAGAGTAGAGAACAGTGAAGTGAGATACTGGAATTATTTTAGGGGGACCGATGCGAGGGAAAATCTTTTTTTGGTTGATTTTTTTCCTTTTTGGTTTTGGCGGGAAATGGAAAATTCAAGATTGAACATGGTGCCTCCACGTGGTAGAACGAAGGGATTATGATTCGACACGTGTAGTTCTTATAGTGGGTTAATATCACCGATTTAGAGGCCAACTGATTATTGTTTGAATCCCCTATGTGAAGAGAGCGAGTGGACTGAACTAGTTCCTCTTTTTGTTTTTAAAAAATTATTGAACCGGAAGTGATTCCAATAATAAAGACGACTAAACATAATGTTCAACACTAAATAATTTAATTGGTAAAAATTTTATTTAATAATCAAATTGTCCTAAAAAATATCATTTTAAATGGTTTTATTATGTTGTCGTTCTATTATTTAATTAGAAAATGTCTAAATTGTATTTTTTATTTTAAATGCTTAAAATAATTTTTTTATAAAAAACAATCATTTTATTTAAAATAAGAAATATTTTAAATTACAATAAAAATTATAATCATAATTGTAAATTAAGCAAGACAATTTCTTATAAGCATTGAAACAAAATTAGCAACTTAATATCATACTAGGACCATAAAAAAAATATTAAAATCTAATCAAGAAAACTCTAACAAAAATAGATACAAACAGATCTGGTCGCACCAACAAACGAATCATAAAAGGGAATCAAGCTATTGAAACACCATTGACAAACCGTAAATCATACTTGAGCAATGTGAAAAACTATCCAATAATGTATAACGGGAATAGAAATCCAATCGAATGATTCAAATCAGGGAATATCAATAATATGACAGATAGGCACCATCTTGATCAGTCGTGACGATGTAAAATCAATCAATATAAAAAATAAGTGAAAACAACCGCCAAAATGATCAAAAAAAGTGTTAAAAGATATAAGATAACGTGTCATACAAATAGACTTATTGAAAATATATAATATAAAAATATAATAACAATAAAAAAATATCGATTATCGATAACCAAAATTAAATTTAGTGCCACCAATGTCCGACAAAGACAACAACAAAAAAATGAACGGTTCGTCAATAAAGAAAAATTGGAGAGAAAATACTAGGAAAAGAAGTCACTAAAATATTTTTTGTTTAATATATGTATTTAACGTTTTTCTAATATTATTTGAAGTACGTAGTTCGTTATAGTCATTAAGAAAATATGAACAACTAAAAACATAATATATGTTACATTTTATAACATTTTGAAAAAAATATTTACAAAGATTTTAAAATTATTAATTTATTTAAACCCTACTTTTTCTATCCAAAAAATCCTTCATTTCTTAATTCCAAAATATTAACTCTTTCATTGATCGTCCGATCAGCACCACTATCACCGGTCGTCCTCACTGTTAATACTGTCATCGGTCGACTATCCATAAACCGTCGAACCTCGTTGTCGATAATTTCCTTATCGTTGCCCTAATACGTTTGTCATCGTTGCTATTAAATTTGTCTGCTCTCATTTATAGCGACTCTTCTAATGTCCGCATTCTATGTCATCCTAACTTGCTATAGTAAGAAGCAAAGCCATCGATGAAGTCGCGGACGTAGGTATTGCTCATAATAAGTATGTGTTTATTTTAAATTTTAAATTTTTCATTAATTATTTATTTTATTAATAATATTTATTTTAAAATTTTATTTATATTTATCTCATATAAAATATTTATGTTATATATATATATATATACCCTAAAAAAACATTTACGGATCTATTATTGCTATAATGGAAGAGTGATCCCTATTATTAAAGATTGAGAGACATTCAGGGATTTAGGGTTTAATAATAGATTTGGATAAAAAGTCGATGATGACTAAAGATGACTTACAAAAGTAACAGTTTGGAATTAAAAATTATAAATACAATACAATATCATGTTTTGAGTGGTTAATATTTTTTTAACATCTATAATAGATATAATTCTTAAAATGATAACAAAAAATATTAAATATTTGTTTTAAATAAAAATATTTTTAGCGATTATTAAAGTGAACAAAACATATAATTTAAATACTTGTTTTTTTTAATTAAGCCTTGTACTATTTAATATTATATGCAAATGGGTTTCAGAGAAAAAATAATTAGACTACGGCGGGTTCAAGGCTAAGTCTTCCACGACAGTGCAACCAATCACAGCATGCCATGTCAACAGAAACACATCATTGAGCATACTCGTTACCAATGGGCATGGAGCGTATCATGATCATCTACGACACATATGCCATTCACGAGTATTATAGTATCTATATAGAGATGAACATCCAACTCAGTTGGTAAAGCACAAGATTATTAATCTTGAGGTCGTAGGATCATGTCTCAAAGAAGATATTTCATAATTCATATGTCTTATACGGAAGTTACTCTCAACCTAGTGTTAAGGACAGCCTATTATCTTATATTCTCTTACCTCATTACATATGAAAATAAAATACAATCATTTTTATAGTATCCATATGATTGTATGAACACGTTTCCCCTGTTTTCTTTTTTTTTTTCATTTTTCCCGAAACCATGTATTATATAATTAATTGCACCAAACGGTGGATTTAAATTTAATACTGATCTCAAATATCAATAGATTTTAAATAACTAAAAGTAACCATATTATATCAATAAAATCTTTCTATTAATATATTTAAATTATTTAGATAAAATTATAAATATATATTATTATTTAAATAATTTGAATTTAACACATAAAAATAATAAACTTTAGTAAAATTATTTGTTTATGATGCATCAAATTCAACTATTAATTCCAAAAATATTTTTATATATTTATAGTTTAATTCATATCATATTCAAATTAATAATAATATCTCAACTAACAAATAAACTGACGAAAAATTCAATTTCTATAAATATTTTAAGAATTTAATTAGTACAACATTTTAAAAATTAGACAGTGCTTTGTATGTTTGGTAAAATTAACCATATTTTATTTAAAATCCCAAAAGAAAAAACACTCCGCTGTCATTGGCTAATATAAAAGTCTAATTGCCTGGTAGAAGAATAACAAAGAAGCCAGAGGAAGCAGAAGAAAACACGAACAAAAACAAAAATGAAGTATCAGATCTGGTTAGCCTTTGGAATTTTGGCCTTGTTATTAGCATCAGCTTTGGCCGACGACGTCGTCGTACTAACCGAAGAGAACTTCGACAAGGAAGTTGGTCAAGATAGAGGAGCTCTCGTCGAGTTCTATGCTCCCTGGTAAATAAATTTCCCATCGCCTATCGTTTTTCTATTTATCTGTTAGATTATAATTTATACTTTATGTTTTAGATGTTTTAGATTAGATCCTCGTTAATTACCGTTAGATCTACCTTCAGCAGTTCATAGGAGGACATCTATTGTTTTCTCTATTATTTTTAGCTTTATTTCTGAAATTTGTTTCTTAGGTTCATGCTGTCTAGACCATTTAGTTGTTGCTAAAGATGTTCATCTTAGGCCTTGTTTTCTTTGTTGGCTTAGAATCTGATGGAATTTCAGAAATTTCAGTTAGTGATCTAACTTCTGATTATGGACTAAGAAAATAAATTAAGTTCTAGCTAATAATATTGTGAGCATATATTACTTTTTTCGACCACAGGTGTGGACACTGTAAGAAGCTAGCTCCCGAGTACGAGAAGCTCGGGGCAAGTTTTAAGAAGGCTAAGTCTGTATTGATTGGAAAGGTTAGCGATCTATAATCACAGAGTTTTGGCTGATATTGTATGAATTATTAATCATCAGGGCTTTTTGAATTGTGAAAAATTTTACTATGATGAAGTTATTCTTGCTTGTAGGTGGATTGTGATGAACATAAAAGCCTATGCAGCAAATATGGTGTTCAAGGCTACCCAACTATTCAGTGGTTTCCTAAAGGCTCTTTGGAACCTAAAAAGTGAGAATTAATTAACATGTAGATGCAGTTCTTGTGAAAGTTTGATCATGTTTCATGTTAAGTTTCCTTTAGTGATATCAACATTTTATTTAAAGCATGCTCATAGTTGACGAAAATTGTTTTATCCAGGTATGAAGGACCACGCACTGCTGAGGCATTGGCTGAATATGTGAATTCTGAAGGAGGTGCATATGTCTTTTTCCTTTGTAGATGTTTCCTTAATCTAGGAGATTCTGCCAATACTTCTGTCTCATGCGTGGTCGAATTTCTGAATGTAGATTGATGCCCAAAGGTCGAAACTTTCTACTGTTTTGCTAAGCTTCTATATTGTATTACAGGGACTAATGTGAAGTTAGCCACTTTGCCATCCAATGTTGCAGTGCTTAATGCTGATAATTTTGATGAGATAGTCCTTGATGAAACCAAAGATGTGTTGGTTGAATTTTATGCACCTTGGTAAGCATGTGCTTATTTTTCTTGGCTTGGTAACATTCGGAAGGAATACGAAGGTTATAGGCTTTTTGGTTCTGCTTCCATCTTCTCTATTAACTCGTTTTGACCAAGTTCTGGGTTGGTTTTCTTCCAGGTGTGGCCATTGCAAAAACCTTGCTCCTGTAAGCATCTGTATCTTGGCTTAATAAAGTAGACATGAGTGTTCTGTTTCATGGTGATATACATTCTAAACCTATGTTTTTGTCTCAACAGACGTATGAAAAGGTAGCAACAGCATTTAAATCGGAAGAAAACGTAGTGATAGCAAATCTAGATGCAGACAAATACAAGGATCTAGCTGAAAAGTAAGCACGGATTTATCCGATAAGCTTGGGTTTCTTTCATAAAGTGTTTGTTAACAGTTAGGGAGTATATCAATGGATTTTAAGGCCTATGCTTTTTGTGCAGGAATGGAATTAGTGGGTTTCCAACATTGAAATTCTTCCCAAAGGGCAACAAAGCTGGTGAAGACTACGAGGGTGACAGGGATTTAGACGACTTTGTTACTTTCATTAATGAGAAATGTGGCACCAGTCGTGATGCAAAAGGGCAGCTAACTTCAAAGGTTGGTGGCTCATATACGTGTTGGTACTGGTACATCATGTTTGTCATTGCCAGTTCTTTCTAAATGTATTAATTTCTCTCCTCTTTGTTTTACACAGGCTGGTATTTTGTCAAGTTTGGATGCATTAGTGAAGGAGTTTGCGGCTGCTATTGCCGACGAGAAGAAAACAGTCTTCTCTAAGATTGAAGAGGAAGTTGAGAAGCTCACTGGTTCAACTACAAGGTATTGATTTAGTTTTTCATTATTCAGCTCCGAAGGAGAATGAGTCAATTCTATGGTTAACATTTTAAAATTTGCTGAATGCAGGTATGGAAAGATATACTTGAAAGCTGCTAAAAGCTGTTTAGAGAAAGGTGCTGATTATCCCAAAAAGGAAATTGAGCGTCTGCAGCGTATTCTTGACAAGGTAAGACTTATTGTTGTAATAAGAGGAACATCAAGTAGTATCCTGAATCATGTTTTCCATATATATGATGTTTGACATTCACGATTTTTTTAAGCTGATGTGAACTCATGCTGAAACTATGATACGAGCTTCTGAACCATGAGTTTCTTGTTTGTTCTTGATGCAGTCAATAAGCTCAGCAAAAGCTGATGAATTCACTCTCAAGAAGAACATCCTATCAACATTTGCATCTTCTTAGATCACTGTATTTCACTTGGTCCGGTGCTGCAGCAACACGGTGAAGTTTCATCGATAATTTTGATGACTGGTTTTGCTCCTATTGCTGCAGCAAACCGCCAGGCTTTGGTTTGCCTTGAACACATCTGCTTCTAGTTAAAGAACTTTCTTATGATGGAAATTTTATCCTCTAAACTATAATTAGAACAGTGATTTTATTTGGCATTACCTTGCATTGTTTCCCCTGTTGTAGATTTTCTGATTATGAAAACACACTTTCTAGAGGCATTTGTAAACGTTAATTATAGCTTTACTTTCATGTTGCTTGCACCCGTTTATCTCTACTAAAATCAGCCTTTGAGAAGCCTAAAGTATAACACTCCTCAAACCTGATTTTCCATATCATCATCCACAGGCTTCACAAATAAGCATGACCTTTCCTCAACACATTAACCACTATCTCTTGCTCCGAACCAAACGGCAATTCAAACAACGGACCTGAAGGCTGTGTTCTCATCTGTCCGGACTGCAACAGTGCTTCCCTCCTTAAGTCACCAGAGTGGAAAATATCGGCGAGGATGGGAACTGTCCCTCTGTATCCAAGCCTCTGGCGAGGCAGCGAACAAACATTACTAACATTCCCGTACAAAGGATATGAAGCACCAGCCGACCGAGCTGAGCAGAAACTGCTCGATGGTCTTTGGTACCAATATAGGAAACACGACTAGTACGGCGGCTACCGGAATCCGGGAAAATTCATAGGTGTTCCACAAATTCTCGGATCATCTTTGGACATCGATGAATATTGCCATGGCATTTCATCACTGGAAAGATAATTAGTTAGTGGGAGATGCAAAAACTCAATCAAATTGATTTGAAAACGATCGAATCCACCAACGACAATATCCAACAGCAACCGAGAAGAACTATCTTCATGTAAAATAAGCTTGAAAAACCAAGACAAAACATAGTCGATTTAGGCTTGAGACAACAACTAACCTGGGATAGAACATTGCTTAAGACCTTGCCGGAGATTCATGATATTACCAGGTAGTGGGTCCCCAACGGTTAAATACATTCAAGCTAGAAACAACTATTTATTAATTTTCCAATCATTGAAATCCGTTAATTCATATATCTTATAAAATATACTGAAACAAACAAATGTTTCGTACGTGGAGGAGATTACAAGCTAACAACTACACAGATAACCTAATCTTTTAAAAACAAAACAAAACTTTTGGGTGTCTCAAACAAATAATAAAAACCTCTGAGTTCTTGTTTCGAGTGGTCTAAAATCACAAGGGGATTGAGAAACTATTATCTGTGTCATCGTATTGTTTTTGAGTAAACCATCAACTGATATAATTTAAGCATAAATTTATAGTTTGTTTTATTTGAATGGTCTTATATGATTAAAAGGTAACATCTGATCATAATTTTCTTAATCTATAACGATGTTAACCTACACACACCTTGTAGATGCAGATGCTCGAACCGAGTCATTTAGAGTGAATAATATTATCTTTTACCAATATATTTTAAATTAAAATTCAATATTCGAATTAAATTAATTTCACATTTAATGATAAATTGATACAAACACTAAAATTCATTTATATTTAAAATATTTTACCCTAAAAAATCACACTTGTAAGATCATCGCCATTAAATTATAAACACTCGAATCCTTGTTATCTACAAAAATAAGAAAAAGCGTAAAATGTTTGGTAGTATTTGTTGAAACTCAACACCAATTAACATATTTTTTATTAATCTGGTATAAACACAATGTAGTATTTATTTAAAAATAACTCTAAACCTTTTGAAATTAAACATTCTCACTCCTGACATTCATGGTGCTCGAACTCGTGATCTTAAGAAATAACAACAATTCCTTTACCACTAAAGTTATTTGATTCGTGCAACCATTTAATATTAAATGCTCATATCCTTGCATATGCGGTGGTCTACTAGGTCGTGTACCCGATCAGAGAACATTATCTTTGGGTAGAGACCGATTTTGTCGATTATAACATCTCCCTCATGAAAAACTATCTCATATTCTTTCATGGTTGTCATAGGGTTTCTCCCTTTATCCACTGTTCATGCAGTAATCCTGCGTATGAGATTATTCCTGATAGTTTTGTTTCTTATTGGTTATGTCGGCTGAGTTAAGGGTTTCCTCATCTTCTTGCATGCAAATATCTTTGTTTAGATCCTTATCTTGCGAAAGCCCCTCTGCTCGATTCATCACTTTCTTGTTAGCTCGTTGTTTTTCTTGGATCTCCAGTGATCTAGGTCTTTCAAGGAAGGGATTGAAGAATGAGATTCCCTTGTCACTGCTAAGTCGTTGTCCTACAGAGTTTTTTTGTTCATCGATAGAGGTTTACTCTTATTGTTTAATTATTGTAATTTAATATGAATTTTTGATTTCTTTACTTTTTAAATTTAAATTTAAATAATAATTATAATGATTAAATTTGTTAAGTTAAATTTTATTATTAATATCTATATTATGTTATCAAAATTGAAATTTTAAAATTTTAAAAGCACAATATTATAATCGACAAATTAGAATAAAAAGATTAAATTGAATATTTTCTCATAGAACAGAGACTAAAGACAAAGTTTGACCTTATTTTCTGCTAAAAGTTTGACCCCGTTAGATTCCACTAAAAGTTAAAAACTTGAAATTCATTATTTTGCCGCCCATTGTAAGTGGTTATTAGGGTTTCAGCCTGCATTATAAATACCCTTTTCGCTGCTCAGCTTCATTCACCCGTTAGATTCGAAAAACAACCGCCTCCCAAAAATCAAACTTTTTTCTTTCCGTTGAGGAGTAGCGTTGATGAACATTATATTGTTGTACCAGAGGAGCACCCGGTAAAGGTAACACAATCCTCTAACAAGTTCTGAGCTTATTATTTTCCTTATTTTTTGTTTTACTTCTTTATGAAGTTTCTTGGATTTTTCTCTTTAAATAAGGGAGAAAGGATTAAAAGCGACGTGATGATCGAAATTCAATGGTCTCTCAATCCGATGATATAATTTGTTGTTACATATAAGTTTCGACAAGTTGTGATCGCTTTTAATTCCTACTTTCTTCAAGATTTGTTTTATAATCAATTTAGGGCTTGCATATTGTTTTACTGAAACTATTTAATGGGCTCGTGATGAATCTCTTTTTGTAATGGTTAGTTTCTTGGAATTTTTGTTCTTTAAATAAGGAAACAAGGATTAAAAGCGATGTGATGATAGAAATTTAATGGTCTGTCAATTCACTGATCTAATTTGATGTTACATTAAAGTTCCGACAGGTTCTGATCGCTTTAAATTCATCCTCCCTTAAAAGATTTGTTTTATAATCAATTTAGGGGTTTGATCTGGTTCTACGGAAAATATGTCTTGGGCTTGTGAAGGATCTCTTTTTGTAATGGGTAATTTGCGTCTGAATTAGTATTTCTTGATCTATTTCAGTTTTTTTGAAACGTTTTTTTGTTGGTAAATGAACCAGATCTTTTTATTAGTCCTTTGAATTCCATTATCACCAAAGTTTTTACGTATTTTGTGTTGATTACATTCTTAAAGTAATGTTTCGCTTGTATATGCTATTCACTCGAAGTTTCTTATTTAGATTTTTATTAATTCAACCATTTCCCGTCATGTTTATCCTTTTGGGCAACTGATGAATTCCTATTTTTAATGGGCAATTTCCTTCTGATAATTTTATTTTGATGCTATCACCTTGGAGATCTGATGCCCTTTCTCTTGTATTATTTCTTTTTAAAACCTTAGTTGCTTTGTCTTTTCTTATTGAACAGTGTTTTGAATTCGTCATTAAGTTGTCAATTGGGGTTCAGATCCTATATCTCAGATTTGAGTTAGTATGCATCTGTTTATTTATTCATATTATTTTCTAGGTCATCTTATAACAACTATTTTACTCTAATTTTGTATATGTGAACCAAAGATTTACATTATGGTTGTGGTTGTGTTTCTCAGTCGCCTTGTGTTTATTGTGATTGTGACAATAGCGGATGCTATTGTGGGTATTGCTGTTATAAAATAATGGTTTTGGACGTTGAATGACTAAGGAGGTGATTGTTGCAATACCCACAATAACAGGTGCTATTGTGGCTGTGGTTGTGTTTCCCGGGTCTTGTGGTTCTTCACACTTCAATGGTGCTTGATTTTTCTCTAGCTGCCCTGTGTTCGTGGTTGTGGTTGTGTTTCCAGTTGCCTTGTGTTTATATGCTATGTACAATATGTTCACGTTAATGAGCTAGGTAATTTCTTAAAGCACTTTTTCGCTGCTCAACGTCATCCACCCCAGAGCTTTCGTAAATAGTTGTCTCTCAAAAATCAAACTTTTTTCTTTTCTTTGAGGAGTAGTGTTCATGAACATTCTATTTTGTACAAGAGGAGCACCGCTGACGGTCACACAACACTCTAAGAAGTTCTGAGCTTACTCTTTTCCTTTTTTTTTTTTGAAAAATGTGGAAATAAAATTTCTTTATTTTTCTTTTTAAATAAAGGAGAAAGGATTAAAAGCAATGTGATGATAGAAATTCAATGGTCTGTCAATCCACTGATCTAATTTGATTTTACATTGAAGTTTTGACAGATTTTGATATATTTTAATTCCTCTTCTCATCAAGATTTGTTTTATAATCAATTTAGGGGTTGAATCTGGTTCTACTGAAACTATGTCATGGGCTTGTGATGCATCTCTTTTTGTAATGGGTGATTTGCGTTTGAATTAGTATTTCTTGATGCCCATAATTTCAATTTGTTTTGAATTTTTTTTTGCTGGTTGACGAACCAGATCTTGTGATTAGTTCTTTGGATTCCATTATAACAGAAGTTTTTCTGTATTTTGCCTTTGATTACATTCTTAAAGTAATGACATGCTTGCCTATGCTATTCGGTAAGTTTCTTATTTAGTTTTTTATCAACTAAACAATTTCACCGTTATGATTTTCCTTTTTGGCAAATGATGAATTCTTATTTGTAATTTGGTAATTTGCATCTGATAATTTTATATTGATGCTATCATCGTGGAGATCTGATGCCCTTTCTCTCGTATTATTTCTTTTTAAAACCTTGGTTGCTCTGTCTTTTCTTATTGAATAGAGTTTTGGATTCGTCATTAAATGGTCGATTGGGGTTTAGATCCTATATCTCAGATTTGAGTTAATGATCCAGTATGTATCTATTTATTTATTCATATTATTTTCTGGGTCATCTTACAACAACTATTTTGCTATAATTTGCTATATTCGGACCAGAGATTTAAATTGTGGTTGTGGTTATTTTTCCAGTTGCCTTGTGCTTATCGTGATTGCGGAAATAGCTGGTGCTATTGTGGGTGTTGATGTTATGAAATAATGGTTTTGGACGGTGAATAAGGAGGTGATTGTTGCAATACCCACAATAGCGGGTGCTATTGTGGTTCTTCACACTCCAATGGTGCTTGATTAATCTCCAGCTGCCTTGTGTTTGTGGTTGTGATTCCAGTTGCCCTGTGTTTATATGTCATGTACAATATATTCACTTTAATGGGCTAGGTAAATTTTTGAAGTACTTTTTCGTTGCTCAGCTTAATTCACCCCCGATCTTTGGGAAACAATCACCTTTTGAAAATCAAACTTTTTTCTTTCCGTTGAGGAGTAACATTGATAACATTCTATTGTGTACCAGAGGATCACCTGGTAGAGGTAACACAACCCTCTAAGATGCTTTGAGCTTACTCTTTTCATATTTTTTGTTTTACTTGTTTTTGAAATTTGTTAACATGAAATTTCTTGGAATCTTTTTCTTTAAATAAGGGAGAAAAGATTAAAAGTGATGCGATGATCGAAATTCAATGGTCTCTCAACCCACTGATCTAATTTGATGTTACATTGAACTTGACAGATTTTGATCGCTTTTAATTCGTACTCTCTTCAAGACTTGTTTTCTAATCAATTTAGGGTTTGAATATGCTTCTTTTAAAACTATGTCATGGGCTTGTGATGAATCTCTTTTAGTAATGGTTAATTTCTTTGAATTTTTTTCTTCAATAGATTTTGATCTATTTTAATTCCTCGTCTCATCAAGATTTGTTTTATAATCAATTTAGGGGTTGAATCTGGTTCTACTGAAACTATGTTATGGGCTTGTGATGCATCTCTTTTTGTAATGGGTGATTTGCGTTTGAATTAGTATTTCTTGATGCCCACAATTTTAGTTTGTTTTAAAAAAAAATTTTGTTGGCTGATGAACCAGATCTTGTGATTAGTTCTTTGGATTCCATTATAACAGAAGTTTTTCTGTATTTTGTCTTTGATTACATTCTTAAAGTAATGACATGCTTGCCTATGCTATTCAGTAAGTTTCTTATTTAGTTTTTTTATCAACTAAACAATTTCACCGTTATGTTTATCCTTTTTGGCAAATGATGAATTCTTATTTTTAATGGGTAATTTGCATCTGATAATTTTATATTGATGCTATCACCGTGGAGATCTGATGCCCTTTCTCTCGTATTATTTCTTTTTAAAACCTTGGTTGCTCTGTCTTTTCTTATTGAATAGAGTTTTGGATTCGTCATTAAATGGTCGATTGGGGTTCAGATCCTATATCTCAGATTTGAGTTAATGATCCAGTATGTATTTATTTATTCATATTATTTTTTGGGTCATCTTATAACAACCATTTTGCTATAACTTGGTATATTTGGACCAGAGATTTAAATTGTGGTTGTGGTTATTTTTCCAGTTGCCTTGTGCTTATCGTGATTGCGGAAATAGCTGGTGTTATTGTGGGTGTTGATGTTATGAAATAATGGTTTTGGACGGTGAATAAGGAGGTGATTGTTGCAATACCCACAATAGCAGCGGGTGCTATTGTGGTTGTGTTTCTTGGGTCTTGTGGTTCTTCACACTCCAATGGTGCTTGATTAATCTCCAGCTGCCTTGTGTTTGTGGTTGTGATTCCAGTTGCCTTGTGTTTATATGCCATGTACAATATATTCGCGTTAATGGGCTAGGTAATTTTTTGAAGCACTTTTTTGTTGCTCAGCTTCATTCACCCCCGAGCTTTGGGAAACAGTCGCCTTTCAAAAATCAAACTTTTTTATCTGTGTTGAGAAGTAACATTGATAAACATTCTATTGTGTACCAGAGGATCACCTGGTAGAGGCAACACAACCCTCTAAGATGCTTTAAGCTTACTCTTTTCGTATTTTTGTTTTACTTGTTTTTGAAATTTGTTAACATGAAATTTCTGGAATTTTTTTCTTTAAATAAGGGAGAAAGGATTAAAAGTGATGTGATGATCGAAATTCAATGGTCTCTCAATCCATTGATCTAATTTGATGTTACATTGAACTTGACAGATTTTGATCGCTTTTAATTCATACTCTCTTCAAGACTTGTTTTCTAATCAATTTAGGGTTTGAATCTGCTTCTTTTAAAACTATGTCATGGGCTTGTGATGAATCTCTTTTTGTAATGGTTAATTTCTTTGAATTTTTTTCTTCAACAGATTTTGATCTATTTTAATTCCTCATCTCATCAATATTTGTTTTATAATCAATTTAGGGGTTGAATCTGGTTCTACTGAAACTATGTCATGGGCTTGTGATGCATCTCTTTTTGTAATGGGTGTCATGGGCTTGTGATGCATCTCTTTTTGTAATGGGTGATTTGCGTTTGAATTAGTATTTCTTGATGCCCACAATTTCAATTTGTTTTGAATTTTTTTTTGCTGGTTGACGAACCAGATCTTGTGATTAGTTCTTTGGATTCCATTATAACAGAAGTTTTTCTGTATTTTGTCTTTGATTACATTCTTAAAGTAATGACATGCTTGCCTATGCTGTTCAGTAAGTTTCTTATTTAGTTTTTTTTATCAACTAAACAATTTCACCGTTATGTTTATCCTTTTTGGTGCATCTGATAATTTTATATTGATGTTATCACCGTGGAGATTTGATGCCATTTCTCTCGTATTATTTCTTTTTAATACCTTGGCTGCTCTGTCTTTTCTTATTGAATAGAGTTTTGGATTTGTCATTAAATGGTCGTTTGGGGTTCAAATCCTATATCTCAGATTTGAGTTAATGATCCAGTATGTATTTATTTATTCATATTATTTTTTGGGTCATCTTATAACAACCATTTTGCTATAACTTGGTATATTCAGACCAGAGATTTAAATTGTGGTTGTGGTTATTTTTCCAGTTGCCTTGTGCTTATCGTGATTGCGGAAATAGTTGGTGCTATTGTGGGTGTTGATGTTATGAAATAATGGTTTTGGACAGTGAATAAGGAGGTGATTGTTGCAATACGCTATTGTGGTTGTGTTTCTTGGGTCTTGTGGTTCTTCACACTTCAATGGTGCTTGATTAATCTCCAGCTGCCTTGTGTTTGTGGTTGTGATTCCAGTTGCCTTGTGTTTATATGCAATGTACAATATATTCACGTTAATGGGCTAGGTAAATTTTTGAAGTACTTTTTCGTTGCTCAGCTTAATTCACCCCCGAGCTTTGGGAAACAATCGCCTTTTGAAAATCAAACTTTTTTCTTTCCATTGAGGAGTAACATTGATAAACATTCTATTGTGTACCAGAGGATCACCTGGTAGAGGTAACACAACCCTTCAAGATGCTTTAAGCTTACTCTTTTCTTATTTTTGTTTTACTTGTTTTTGAAATTTGTTAACATGAAATTTCTTGGAATTTTTTTCTTTAAATAAGGGAGAAAGGATTAAAAGTGATGTGATGATCGAAATTCAATGGTCTCTCAATCCACTGATCTAATTTGATGTTACATTGAACTTGACAGATTTTGATCGCTTTTAATTCCTACTCTCTTCAAGACTTGTTTTCTTATCAATTTAGGGTTTGAATCTACTTCTTTTAAAATTATGTCATGGGCTTGTGATGAATCTCTTTTTGTAATGGTTAATTTCTTCGATTTTTTTTCTTTAAATATGGAAGAAAGGATTAAAAGCAATGTGATGATAGAAATTCAATGGTCTGTCAATCCACTGATCTAATTTGATGTTTCATTGAAGTTTCGACAGGTTATGATCTCTTTTATTTACTCCTCTCTTCAATTGTTTTATAATCAATTTAGGGGTTGAATCAGGTTCTACTTAAACTATGTCATGGGCTTGTGATGAATCTCTTTTTGTAATGGGTATTTTGTGTCTGAATTGTGGTATTTCTTGATGCTATAACACCTTGGAGAACTGATGCCCAGTTTGTTTTGAAACATTTTTTTCTTGGTAAATGAACCATATCTTGTATTTATTTCTTTTGATTCCATTATCATTGAAGTTTTTCCGTAGTGTGTTTGATTACATTCTTAAAGTAAAGCTTTGCTTGTATATGCTATTGATTCGAAGTTCCTTTTTTAATTTTTTATCAACTCAACCATTTCACCGTTATCTTTATTGCAACTAATGAATTCTTATTTTTAATGGGTAATTTGCGTCTGATAATTTTATAACAACTATTTTGCTCTAATTTAGTATATATGGACCAGAAATTTAAATTGTGGTTGTATTTTCTAGTTGCCTTGTGCTTATCATGATTGAGGCCATAGCTCGTGCTGTTATGGGAATTGTTGTTATGAAATAATGGGTTTAGATGGTGAATAAGGAGGTTATTGTTGAAATACCCACAATAGCAGGTGCTATTATGGTTCTGGTTTTGTCCTGGGTATTGTGGTTCTTCGCACTCCAATAGTGTGTGCTTGATAATACTCCAGCTGTACCTTTTAATATTGAATAATGCCTTAAACAGTGGCAACCTAGTAAGTTTGTTGCTCACATTAGATTGTCAATTTTTTCATCAATAGAAAATTTATTATGCTGAACAAATTCATGCATGAATAAGGAGGTGATTGTAATCTAGGAAATAACATTTTGTCGGGGTTTGAAGAACCCCTAATATGGATTTTGGGTAAATCCAAAACCAATAAATGTCTCTAGTCAAAATAAAAAACATGGTTGAGTGAGAAGCTTGTATCTTGAAACAACAATGGCATATACACTGTTACGCTACAGACAAAATCCTTCGAGGTGAATTCAAACCATCAATTATCTCAGAAGCTTTGTTTGTGAGTAAATTTGTTATTTTTGAGTGTTGTTGACTGAGATTACTCATCATTTAACTGTTATATAATGCTTTGATTAATACACCTAATTGAATTTGGTATTTATCGTGTCATTGTTGGTTGTTTTTCTTATTGCAATTTTTTGATTATGTTATGGTCATGGTCATGGAGAGATGACATTAATATCATATCTTATTAGACATGTCCTTTGAGAAGAGGATAATGTCTTATTCTTTTATTGTTTGATTTATTGGTGTTTTTGGTGGGTGGCGCCGGTGATTAGATTGTGAGTGGAGAATAATGTCATGCTTGGAGAGGTAATTTCACATTGAAACTCCTGGAGTTTAAAAATGATGGTATTATTAGACGTGTCCTTTGAGAAGAGTTCAATGATCCCTTTCATATTTAGTTTAATGGATAACTTGCTTTAAAACCCAAGTATTGAGTTTTGCTGCCTCTTCTTTTCGAAGGTTTCCAATGCTTCATCGTCAAATGACAAATTTACAGGCTTTAATTTTTCAGAAGGTAATGTTTCCTTGGACCGAGTTTAATATGCTCTATGTATTGTAATGTATATCTCGTGTTTTTTAATTTTAGGATCCTACAATCCTATTTTGGACGGTGGATAAGGACTAAGGAGGTTATTGTTGCAATACCCACAATAGCAGGTGCTATTGTGTTTGTGTTTTCTGGGTAGTTCTTCACACTCCAATGGCGCGTGCTTGATTTTTCTCCAGCCATACCCCGTAATATTGAATAATGCCTTAAACAGCTGCATCCTAGTAAGTTTGTTGCTTACATTAGATTATTAATTTTTTCAT